TTTTTCAACTTATGATATTTTTAGCTCTGAATTGTTTAATGGGTACAACTCCCTTGTAAATTGAGCAATATCTTTACAGATTGAAGGATTTTTTCTTATTTAGCTTTATAAGGATATAGTTTTCAAATCTGACTTTAAATAAGTCTGACTTCTAAGTTAATTTCTCATTCCTATTATTTTTAATCAGTTTTCAATTCATTAATTTTACTTCCATGTTTGTTTCTTTTGTACTTTATTTTTATTATTTTAATTTTGTTTTAAAAGGAGATAAGCACTTGATTCAACTATTTCAGTCCATGACTTTTTAAAATTTTTAATAAAGAAAGTAAAGTTATATTATAATATTTTGTTCTGAATATAGCTTTAACTCTAACCCTAGATTTGGGGATACTTACTACTGTTTAATGTTTTTGATTTCTACTAAGGTTGTGCATTTTTCATGTTTCAGTTATATTGACCATTACTATTTCTTTTATGAATTTCCTCCTCTTATTCTTATTCCATTTTACTTATTTAGATAGCCATCATTTTCTTGTTAATTTATTTGTTATGTGCATTGCAAACACATCAGCATGTTTAAAAAATTTTATTCTGTGTTTTACTTTTCAGCAAAGACGTTTAATCTGTTTCTTAGTCAGATGTATCAGTACTATCAATTTGGATTTCCTTTTTAATAGCATCTTTGAAAGCTCTTCTCCTCCAACAGTACATGAATCACACTTATATTTTCTTTGACTTTAATTTAAAATTTTTTTTTTGCTATGCTGGGAATAGAACTCAGGGCCTTGCACCTGCTAGGAAAACACTCTACCTCCAAGTTGTGAATTTTATTTTTATATGTAACTAAAAGAATCTGATGTTGCTTTTTCTGTAAATGCTTAGTCATTTAATCCAGCATTATTAACTGACACATCATTGTTTTCCTATAATTTAAGTGTCCCATTTTCATGTACTTGGGTCCATTTTTTAGACGTTATGTTCTTCAGTTTTCTCTCTATTGTTATATCATTACTATATTATTTTAATCATATTAGTTTTATAAAACCCTTTAACGTAAGATGGGCCGGGTCCATTCTAATTATGCTATTCCAAGCAATTTTCCTGACTCTTCTAGGATTCATTCTTTCTGAAGAACTTTAGGATCATTTTATAGTTTTCACAGTCTAAAGCATTCCTTTTTTTCTCTGAATATTTTATAGGAAGTACATGAAGTGGAGAATTCCCACCCCTTTCCTCTGTCTGCTCTCTCGGCCTCTCTCTTTCTGTGTGTGTGTGTGTGTGTGTGTGTGTGTGTGTGTGTGTGTGTGTGTGTGTGTGTCTGACTGTCTCTCTGTTTCTCTGACCGTCTTTCTCTCTCGTTGGGGAACGAATCATCCAGGCTTGCTCAAAAACCCACCACCCAATTTCCTCTCCTTCTTGCTCTGACCATCCGTCTGACTACAGAATGCATTTCTTGTCCTGAAGTTACCATCTGACCTTTTGGCTCTGACCTGGCTCCAGCTACTCATACCTGAAATGAAGTATTAATGGAATTTAAAAGCAAATATGCAGAAAGGCAGGCAGTGAAGTAACTGAGCTCTTACCTGACATCAAAGGGCATGGTGACATCTTAAAAACACTTTATTCAGTCCTACAAACAAGACTTTCAAGTAGGAATAAAGAATATCATTCACTCGACTCTCACTTATTCACTCCATTCAATTCTTAAGCGAATAAATATGGAAGTAACCATTTCACTCAGGCAGGGCCCTTTTAAGTTCCTCTGTGGCACTAGGTAGTTCAGCCAAGCAGCATGACAAAGCCTATACACTCTTAAGTAAATAAAGGTCAAATATGTTAATATTTGAAATGTATCCAGTAAGGACTCCCAAATCTAACTCAAAGTGAGATCCAGCCAATCCCGAGGGCAGTTGTTTTGCACGCAATTACTCAAGGTTCCACAGTCACCTGCAACTAAAGTGGACAGTAATATAATGAAGAGTGTCTGGCTTTCTGAGTAGCTTGGTGATTGCACAAGGAGGTGACTCTCTTCTATGATCCTGGTTAAAAGCTCTTAGAATCCATCCATTCTTCCTAAAATGTACTTGTCGCCACCTCTAGTGTATGTTGCTGGAGCACAGTTTGACAGATTTCTTCTCCCCTATGTTAAGGAAGTATAGGGCTGAGTATGACTATCCATTGCCATCTTTGTATCCAGTGCCTGGATAAATAGTTGACATCTAAATTAACGTTTGAATTCCCCTCATAGATAGCTAGTTTCTTTGCTCTTGTACATAAAATGCAGGTGACCGGAAAAGGTGAAGTACATCATTAAGCGTGAACTAAGGTAGCTCTCTGGAAGATAAGAGTCATTGAGAATTCCTTAACCAATTCAGTTATCAATGTTGTGCATCAAGGGAATCCAGACAAAAATAGGATCCTAGAAAAGCAAACATCGGAGGGCTCCTCATTGGCTGTTCATTATAGGATGTGGGCTGGTTTGATGGCAGAACGGTTCAGAACAGGAGGGGCCTTGAGAATATACTACTAAACTGAAGAGGGACTTCTTAGTATAACTTCTGTAGAATATCTCCTTCCAGACACGGACAGACACCACAGGCTCTCATGGTCACTTAGTACTGTGAGGGCCATGATATTTCTGGAGAGCAAGCATAAGAGTCCCATGGCTTCACTTGACATCTAAGTTACTGAAAGAGGGACCTTGGCTAATTTGGTTGAGGGGGTAGAAACTGCTTAAGATCCAAGTGAAATTTTGTTCATGTGTGTTAGTATAGGGAGCCTTCTGCATTCAAAACCTCAAGTTAGGACTTGAACTTCTGAAATATATGCTTCAATCCTCTCTTTAATCATCCTGTGATTACAAAGCCCAGTTGACCCTCCTGGCATGTTCTGTGCTGGAGAGTAAACCAGGTCCTTATGCCCGTGGAGCTGGCAGATTTGAAGGTTCTTAACCTTCTAGGCCTTCAGCACCATGGGAGACATTTTTTCTCTTCACAGAGTTCTGCTGCTCTTTCCTCCCCCGTGTCAAGAAATAAACTTGGCATTAGTATTGGGATGGGGAGTGATCCCTTTAAGAGGGTCTACCAAGACTACCATTGTCCTTGAATGGATCTCAGTGGTCAAACTGTGCTGTTTAGTCCCAGCCCCAAAAGCTAAGTTGATTGGAACAGGGTAGGCATCTAAGACAAGCAGCTACTTTCCACAAATTGAAAGAAAGTGAGAGTTTCTCATCTCTCTGGTGCATGCTCCTCCATCCTTGGGCAGCCAGAAGCAGAGGAGACCAGTATGCAGAGGAGGAAAAGAGGCAAAGCCAGGGAGATGTCCTGATGCTGCCTGTGCTCCCCCAACACTTCTCAAGCCCATTCACAACCATCTAGTCACAGAAAAATGCTTCTCTTTGGCTTAAACTAGATCTATTTGTTTCCTTTCACTTGTGATACAAAAAAAAGCCTTTCTAACACCCCTCCATGAGTGTGCCCGGGTGTGGCCTCTGTACTGGGGAATTGTTTGCCCATTGTTGTGTAACTGACTTTTATTTCAGAAGTGCCAGGAATTGTAATAGGAAAAAGGTCTCAATAGAGAGCCTAGGCTACATGCAGTCTGGAAGTGTGTTTTTTATTCAGGAACATGCTCCAAGACTACTGGGAAAGGGGGGATGTGGTTTGGAGGTCCCTGTCCAGAAATGGCTATCCCCCTGGTCCTTGTGAATAAAGGAAAGAGCATTTGGTTTCCTGTCTGGGGGAAGAGGCATTTGTGCCCCTTTTATGGGCCTGTGGTTCCTAGGTATCCTTCCCATTTCTTGAACACAAGAGTCATTTAATAACTTTTGCAACAGTGTGTCACTAAAATCAATTAAATATTTGGAAGTCTTTGACCTATGTATTTACAGGCAAAAATATAAGCTTTGGAGTCAGAAAAACCTTGTTCGTGACCCAGCTCTTATACCACAGTCCCCTGGGTTTCTGCATGAGTCCCCTCCCCTCTCTGTGCCTTGGTTTCCATATCTGAAAACTGAAGAGGAAGATTTAACAAGATTATCTTTAAGGCAGAGAAGGGAAAGAACATTCCTAGAACTGCCAGACAAAAGTTTTGGGATGAATTTGAAACTGCCAGAAAGCTCCCTGAGAGTCCAGATGGCTTTAGAATTGTGCAGCTGGTCCTCCTCCTGTGAGCCAAGACACAGTGACACTAACAGGGCTGGAGAGGGATGCTGAGCAGTGTGTGGGTGGAGAAGAGTTCTGGGTATGGGCCATGGAGTCCAGCAGGACAGGCAGACATTCCCTACAAGGTCACCCTGCTGGGCTGGGCTGGGCAGCTACCTGGGCATAAGCAATAAGCAGCCAGAAGCCTCCATTCCTGGGACTCCACCCTGAAATGCTAGAGAAGATTGAGGATCAGGGAGAAGCCTTGAACTGGAACAAACACATGGGAGCCACCTCCTGAAGACAGAATGTGGAGCCAGGGACCAGGATGAGCTTATCCTGGAGTTAGTGTAGAACGGAAGAGAACTGAGAGCTGAAGGCCAGGCATTCCACCATTGAGTGGTCAAGGAGAGCAATAGGGATGCCTGAAAGAGGTAAACAAAGAGTAGCCAGAAGGCTAAGAGTAACCGCAAGCAAGAGTGGTATCCTGAAAGCCCAGAGGAGAAGGAGTTGAAAAGAGGAGGGAGTGATCAGCTGGGCCAAACGCAGCTGATAGTTTGAAAAAGACAGCTGAAAAAGAAGTCAGTGGGTTTTGGGACAGGGAGGTCACTGGAAACAAACTGTCAGTCCTCATACGTGGGAAAGAAGGCTGGCCCCTTCTTCTGAAGGGTCTTAATATGGAAAGGCAGTGTCACATTTTGCTCTGAGAGGCCTGCTTTTTGGCTGCTGCATAAGAAGCCCAGGCTGGCAGAGGTAGTCACCTTTTTTATTAAGATGTTGGCAGTACTCAGGTTGGGCTATTCCTTGTGCCAAGTTCCTGGGCCAAACCCTACCCTTGGCCCTCCACTCCATGGTGGCTCAGAACTCACAGACCACAAGGCGCTGCTCACTGCAAACTTTGTCATTCCATTTGCCATTTGTTAAGATCTCCACACAGTTCTCTGCCCCACCATTGTTGTTGGGCTCCCCTGGGACCCAGTTGGAATAGACCAAGGGCTCCCCTGTGGGGTAGGTGAACTTGCCCTCCGTGTCGTTGTCTGTCATGCTCAGGAAAGCAGCCTTATTCTGGGCTATGATCAGCTGCTGTAGGGCAGCATTCTCAGTTGCAGAACGTGGGGAAGCCAACTGTCCACCAGCCTGCATGCACAGCTCCTGTGCACCCTGGAAAGGTTTTACAGAGCCTTCTGTCTTGAAGATCTTGTCCCCAACACTTCGGCCATTAGGAAAGAGCTCGGCTGAAAGAAGAGGAGAGTCAGGCTGAGGTGTGGCAGCCCCTGACCAGCGGTCTGGGGCCCTGAGATCTCTGGGATGCAACCCAAGCATCCGGGACCTTCCCATTCAGTGGATCAGGCACCAGAGGATGTAAGGGAGACATGCAGTTCCAAAGCAGCACCAATACCATGATTCACCGTGGGGAGAAGGGTGCCATGGTCCCCCATTCACAGATGGGAGTTAAGTACAAGGCAACTTTCAAGCATGCAGTTTTGGGAGACTTCATTGAGTCCAAAGCTCAGGCATGCTCTTTCTGTTTCAGCCCATGTTGTATTCTGGAATTGATTTTCTAATTTCTAGGCAGCATCAAATAACTTTTCCCAGGGAAATGATTTCTGAAAGTACAGAAAATACAATGCAAGGAGCCCACTGTTACCCCTGTTGTTGCAATGTTGGTTGTCAGAGAAGGTCTGAGCTTTGTGATGGAGTGCCAGAGAGGATAGAGTGGGACATGTGAGTAATATAACGTGTTGGCCTCAATTGCCCATGGGTGATGCCCCAACCAGCTAGCCTGCCCTGGAGGTGGCAGAGGAGGGGATAAGGGCATCTGAGACGTGCATGTGATGGGGTAGGGTGAGTGCTAGAGATAGCCCTGAATAGGCATCAGACCAGGCATTAAGACCCACCTTGGTAGTGACTGTCTGGGCAAACAAAGCAAAGTTACTTCCCCTTTCAGGGTTTCCGATTCCTCATCTCTAAAGCAAGGGGTCACCTCACAAAACCATCCTCTGCATAATGTGCCAAGTCTGTCCTTTTATTCCAGTCCATCCCACTACTACATGAATATTCCCATGCATTCATCCAGGAGCACACAGTAGTACCCAGCGTCCATCTGGATGTGTGTGTCTGCCTGTGCCTATATAGGCACATGAGCTTACATATGTGGATAGATGTAGAATGAATGACATTTAAGTACACACACACACACACATGCACACACACACGGCAGGGGCGGATGCTCATGGGCTTTGTGTATGCCTATGAATGAATAAGTACTTGGACAAATATGTTTATGGAGAGAGGAAGACATAAGCAATGCTTGGGTCCTTAGGCCTCAACCTACATCTAACCAAAAGGAAACACGCAGGAAAAAAAAACAACTCTTCTTTTTCTGGCTTAATGAGCTTTGCCCCAGGATGTAAACTCAGAACTAATGTCATAGAGTGAGAGCAGGTGAGTAGGGCAGTTGGGAACTGAAATTGAGAGTCAAAAAGGCACAAAACACTCAGGTGTGTGCTGCTAGAGTCCTCTGACACCCCAGGATTTCACAGTTAGGGTACAACCTCTGTTCTAAACATACCAGAAGCTGCAGGCAAAGCCCAGTACTGGCTGGAGCCCAGAGGCAGTCTCCCTGCTTAACCCCAGAAGCATGTACAAGGAGAGATATCAATGCCATACACCAAGGTCAGGCCCTACTGACCTTGTGCCCCTAGAACAAAATCTCAGTCTCAGCCCTAAGAACAATCTCTGGATTCTGTACTGCCTTGTACTAGGCAGCCACATTTCTGGACATTTCTCCAACTGGCCAGCAACACAGAAACACAGCCCAGGATGGGTATCCTCTTATCCAGGGGACAGCCCTGGCAGTAGGAGTGAAGGTATACTGACCCCAGGACATCCATCTGTCCTGGGACACAGGTGGCACTAACATTAGAGGCTGCCTACTAGCTTCAACCATGTTTCTGCCAACCTAGTAAGCTGGTGTCACGGGCCACACCCCTCTACTTGTCCCTTAGATCTACTTCCACTCCTGGAGCATGTGACTTCCCTGCTGCAGCCTAACCCTAAATTCTGCCCCAGCCCCAAGTCCAGTTCCAGACACAGACCCTGCTCATTCCCATCCTAGACCCAGGGTGAGGCTCAGCCTGTGGTCCAACAAATGTGTAGCTCCAGCTCAACCCTCAACCAAGGCCCAGAACCTGTTTGGGGCCTAATATTGGTGCAAGGCTGGGTATGGATTCAGGAACTTACCTTTCTTATAGTGAGAGAAGGAAGCCTGGAGATTTTGCAGCTGTCTCTGTAAGGCCTCCACCTGCTGCTTCAGAGCAGTGATGTCTGCAGGTTGGGAAATGGCCATATGAAGACTTTTCCCTCACAGGCCAGGAACAACTCAGGCCTGGGTCTCAGAGGAAGTGTGCCCAGTTCTCACATCTGCTGATGATTCTGGCCCCTGCTGTGCAGGGATTTATGATTCTGCTTTGGATAAACTATTCCCAGATCAAGTCCCTGAACCCCACTGCCACTAAACCAGAGGACATTTTGACTCCTTAATCTGGAAACACAATGTCATCTCCATTCTTGGGAGAGGGATAGGAATACACATTCCACATGTAATCCCCACTCATTGGGTTCTGAATGTTCAAAGGTATCCTATGAATTAGAAAGCAGCCCAAATCATTTTCCCGAGGTTTGCCTTCCTGCAACTCTAGATGACTAAGACCTGAGCCTAATTCTTCCCCCTAGCCTGCCAGCCATTCCTGAGTTCCACCCACCACCAAGGCGGTTTCCCAAGCTGGAGGGGACTCCTCTCTCTTCACCCGCACAGGAGCTGCTGCCTTACCTGGAAGCCCACTTTCACCCTTGGCTCCTCTGTCTCCAGGAGTACCTCTGTCTCCCTTTAGTCCTGGGGGACCCCTGGCACCTGGGGCTCCCTGTGGACCCACAGCTCCAGCAGGCCCTGGAATCCAAGAAGAGCTGGGTGAGCTATGCAGCCATTTTCCAGCATTTTCATCTTCTTAGCACATGGGCTGTCCTTATTGTAGAGCAGACTATTCCCCACATGCAGAATATTCCCAGAATCCAGCCCTGAGCCCTCTCTGTAATGACTGTCCCCATCATCTGGCAATCACCCTCCTCTATGTACTGTCCATAGCCCTTATAACTAACCTTCCCTGAATATAGTCTCCCCCCATGGTTTAACACTGTACCCCCCTACATGTGGACAGTTCCCAGAGCCTGAAAGTGCACCTTCCCTGAATCAGTCCCTTTCCACGGCCCAGCAGTGCCAGCCCTGACTTCAAGAGTGGTAAGGGAGAGGGGACAGGCCTCGGTGGCTCCATGTGGGCACAACAGATCTGGATCCAGCCCCACATCTCTCCATCACTCACCTGCTGCCCCAGCATTTCCAGGAGCTCCACGCTCACCAGGGATACCTCTGTCTCCTTTAGATCCTGTGGGTCCTCTTGGCCCTGCAGAGCCCTCCATGCCTGGGGCACCTACTTCTCCTTAGGAAGGAACGATCAGGGACAAAGTTGCTAAGAGTGTGCTCAGTCAGCATGCATTGAGAAGGTTTCCACAGCAGTACAGCTTTTTACCCACAACTCCAGGGTCAGAGAGAGAGAGCAGGGAGACTGCCCATTGCTGCCTGGGGCTCCTCTGTGAAGGGTAAGGGGGAAGCTTTATTAACGTGAAGGAGTCGGGGGGAGGGGTGCATGGCGAGGCCTTCACAGTGTTGGTGATCTGGGCTATTCCCATCACCCTAAGTGAGCCTCAGGCCACTCATGAACTGCCACTGTCATTCCTCCCTTCTCCCTCCCAGGGTAGCCACATCCTATCCACCTACCTTTGGGTCCAGCCTCTCCCTTTGGTCCTGGTCTGCCTTGAGGTCCTATGTTCCCCTGCTTTCCAGAGGGACCTTCTTTTCCAGCTGGACCAGGCATACCTGGAAGTCCTGGAGGTCCTGGGGAAAAGGATCAACTCAGTCAGTGACACAAAATCCCCTTGGCAACAGGGCTGCATAAGATGAAAGTAATGGCAAAGGTCAAAGTACAGGTCAAGAGGCAGCACCATTGAACTGCTCCATAGGAAGCTCAGCCTGAAATAACCCAGTGCCTCCTTCAGAGCAATCTTCTTCATTCTTCCTTGGAGGGGCTCTGTGCATGTCCACTGACATGCCCTCATGGCAGAAGCACCATTGGGGGACATCTGAATTCCATGCCCAGTTGCTCACCACTTGGTCCAGAGTCTCCTTTTGGTCCTGGGTCTCCAGCAGAGCCATTGTCCCCTTTAGGCCCAACAGGGCCAGCTGGTCCAGGCATCCCTGCTAGCCCTACAGCTCCAGGTGATCCTATAGCAGCAAAAGAAATAGACATCAAGTTGGCCCTAGGTGAAAGCTCCTAGTACTCCTTCAAGGTTCTGCAGAGCATGGACTTTCCAGAGTCACGCAGCCTACTGCAATGGTGATCCAGGAAATGAGCATCGCCTTCCCGTTTTGAGGAAACAATCTTTCCAGAGCTGGAGGTGGAGACAAGCCTGAATCTGTGTGAGTTTCCATGCAGCGCTTCTTCTGCCCCACAGTCACAGTATCAGCAGGAGCCAATTGGTCGGCATTTACCAAGGAACATGGACTTCTTGATTTCCCTGTGTGTGTGTGTGCGTGCATGTGTGTGTGTGTGTATGTGTGTGTGTGCACACACGCAGGCATGTGCACAGGCATGTCTGCATGTGTGTGCACGTGTACCAACTGTTTTTATCAGACAGATGCTAACTTGTTCACTCAGGTATTTGTCCATTTGTTCAATTATTTATTCATGAAAATCCCCCAAAAGCACAAGAAACAAGAACAACTAATGAATTTCCATCAAACTAAAAAGTTTCAGCACAGCAAAAAAAAAAAAAAAATCAACAGAGTTAAGAGACAATCTACTGGCAGAAAATATTTGTCAACTATTCATATGACAGAAAGTTAATATCAAGAATATATAAGGAACTCAAAAAACTTAACAGCAAAAAACCCCAAACGATTCAATTTTTAAAATAGGCAAATGATCCTAACAAACACTTCCCAAAAGAAGCAATATAAATAGCCAACAAGTATATGAAAAATGTTCACTATGTGTAGCCATAAGGGAAATACAAATCAAAACCACAATGAAGGCTGAGGGTGTGGCTCAAGTGGTAGAGTGCCTGCATAGCAAGTGCAAGTCCCTGAGTTCAAATTCCAATACTGCCAAAAAAAAAAAAAAAAAAAAAAGATGACTGAAAACCACAGTGAAATACCATCTCACCCCAGTTAGAATGGCTATTATAAAAAAAAAGAAAACAGATTCTGGTGAGGATGAGGAGAAAAAGAACCCTTATACACTGTTGGTGGGAATGTAAATTAGTACAGACACCATGGAAAACAGTATGGTGGGTCCTCACAAAACTAAAAATAGAACAACCATATGATTCAGTTATACCACTCTTGGATATTTATCCAAAGAAAATGAAATCAGCATACAAAAGAGATATTTGCATGCCCATGTTTATTGTAACAATAGCCACAATAGCTAAGATATGGAATCAGCCTACATACTCATCAACAGATGAATGGATCTAAAAAGTTTAGTATATATACACAACAGAATATTATTCAGTCAAAAAGAATGAAATCCTAAGGGTTGTGCATGGTGGTGCACATCTGTATTCCCAGCTTCATGAGATGCAGAGGTAGGAGGATCATGGTCCATGGCCAGCCAAGGCAAAATAAACTAAGAGCAAAAAGGGATAGAGGCATAGCTCAAGTGGTAGAATACCTGCTTAGCAAGCTAGAGTCCCTAGTTCAAACCCTGGTACAGAAGAAGAAGAACAAATATTGCATGATCTTTTTCATATAAAAAGTTGCCCTGAATATAGAGTTGTGATTAACAGACGCTGGGAAAGTATAGGGAGCAGGGTGGAGAAAGGAGGTTGGATTTGACCAGTGCATGTGAATATTACACTGAGACCCCTTATATACAATGAATAATGTTAACAGAAATATTTTGAAAATCTATGCATATCTACTTTACGATTTGTACTGGACCACGTGCAAATACAAGCTCGGGCCCTGGGGTGCCAGAGATTTATAATAAACTGAGAGACCAGGATGTCAGGTGAAGAGGACATAAGTGAGATGTTTCTCAACTCCTCACTGTGCCCCCACCCCAGCTCAGACACATCCTAGAGTATCTTCCTGAAGGAGGAAACAGGGCTTTGAGAACAGAGGTGGTTTAGAGAGACTGAGTCCTCTCTAAATTATTTAAGAGAAAAGAGAGGTGACATTTCAGACTTGGAAACTGTGCTCCTGTGGCAGGAATGGGGGAAGAGCGTGGTTGGGATGGGACTACATGTAAATTTGCCAAGAGGTTCTTTGCTTGTTATTGCTTAAAATCCTTCCTGGGGACAAAATGGAAGCATAGAGGGTGACAGGGCTGGTCCACATTCTACATCCAACTCTGCCACATTCTACAGCCTCAGCACTGTGCTGAGGGCAGAGATGCTGCAGACTCAGGCTGTGCTCTCTCTCGGACTCCAACATGACTCCACCTTGGCTGCCAGCCAAGCAGGCACATTGGGCCAAGGGAACAAAGTCACTCTCTAGAAAGGAGTGTAAGAGGCCACCCACTCTTGGTACATATGCTACGGAGTCCATAGAACCCCAAGGAGGAGGAGAGGCACCCTCCTCAACCACAGCACCCCAAAGCACTAATTTTGCAGCTGGTGTTACAGACCCAGCTCTGCTTCCTGGTGCCACCAGAAGTGAAGCTGTGTGGCCTGGCCCCCTGGCCAGTCTTGACTGTCCTAAAATTCCTCCTCTCCTTCCAGTTTACATTCACTCACTCATCCCATGGATATTTATTGAGCTTCTACCAGGCACTGTCCTAAATGCTAGAGATGTGGTAGTGAGCAAAATAGACCAAAAAAAAAAAATCCCTTTCCTCATTAGGTTTCAAGTCTACTGCATAGAAATAGGCTTTCAAAAATGAAATTATATCAGGCAAAATACCAAGGCAAGACCTCACTGAACAAAGAAGAGACTAACACAATGAAGGGCAGGAATGTAAAATGTGTATGGTAAGGGGAGGGTGATAGTGGGATGGGGAGAGTAACGGAGAGTGTATATGACTGATGTACTTTCTAGACATCTTTGAATATGTAACAATGAAACCTGCCAAAGTCATTTTAAGAAGGGGAGTAGGAAGAGAGGGACAATAATGGAGGGGATGAACCAAACCAGGGTACAAAATATGTATATGTGTAGATAGATATATGAGAATGTCACAATGAAACTCCCTGTACAACTATCATATATGAATAAAATCATTTAAAAATTTAAAGTGTACAACATATGGCACATTAGATTATAGCAGGTGCCACAGAGGTACAGTAAAGTTTAGGGAGCATTGGAGCATGTCCTTAGTAAGAATACCTCACTGGGAGGTTAGCCTGGCTCAAAAAACCAAAAATTGTATGTTCTCCCTCATATGTGGACATTAGATCAAGGGCAAACACAACAAGGGGATTGGACTTTGAGCACATGATAAAAGCGAGAGCACACAAGGAAGGGGTGAGGATAGGTAAGACACCTAAAAAACTAGCTAGCATTTGTTGCCCTTAACGCAGAGAAACTAAAGCAGATACCTTAAAGCAACTGAGGCCAATAGGAAAAGGGGAACAGGTCTAGAGAAAAAGGTTAGATCAAAAAGAATTTAACCTAGAAGGTAACACCCAGCACAGGAAATCAATGTGAGTCAATGCCCTGTATAGCTATCCTTATCTCAACCAGCAAAACCCCTTGTTCCTTCCTATTATTGCTTATACTCTCTCTACAACAAAAATTAGAAATAAGGGCAAAATAGTTTCTGCTGGGTATTGAGGGGGGAGAGGAGGGGGCGGAGTGGGTGGTAAGGGAGGGGGTGGGGGCAGGGGGGAGAAATGAACCAAGCCTTGTATGCACATATGAATAATAAAAGAAAAATGAAAAAAAAAAAAGAATACCTCACAGGGAGATAAAACCCTAAACAGAGTGGAGACAGCTTGAGGGACCCCCATGAGAAGAGCAAATGCAGGGTCCAAGAAGAGGGGGGCGACCAAGTGTGGTTAAGAACCAGCAAGAAGCCAGCATGGTTGTAAACTAGCAGGTGTAGGGGGGAATAGAAGGCACTGGACGAAAGAAGCAAGCAAGGATAGGGAAAGGTCTGTACTGTGAGGTTTGTAGGTTTTACTCAGAGAAAGATCAGCATCCCCACAAAGATTCTGGGTGAATCTTTCTTGGAAGTCATGCTGGAAGTGCTGACGAACAAGAGAATTGTCTGCCCAAATGTAGGTCTCAGTCTTGTTTGCTCTCCATTATCTGGAACTTCACCAGTTCCAAATGGACCTCAGCCCCACCATCTACCCCCTCCCAACTGCCCTTTCCAGCAAGTTCTGTGGACCACATACCTCAAAATCTGCAGAAGAGGTTGTCACAAGTGCAGGTTTTGGCCTGCACTTACTTGGGTCAGGATTCTGAGGATGCTCCAAGCTCCCCAGGACATTTTCAGACCCGAAAGGGTCAGTGACTAAAGTGCGTGGGGTTGAAGTACCAGAGCCGAGCCTCGTTCCCCACCCAGCTGTGTGCTAGTCTCTGTTTAAAGTCAGGTTGAGTGTATGCAAGGAGTGAGGCCAGCTCGAGGGCCACTGTGGAGGCCCCACCTCCCTCCACACCCGTACTCAATCCACAGACCCTCAGGGAGCCAGAAAGAACCGGGGAGCTCTGAGAGAGCTGGTACCCTCCCCATTTACCCTGGGAGCCACATCCTATCCACAAAGCCATGGATGTTTCTCATTCTGTCTGTCTTAGGTGTCATTAGTTTCCTTCCTCCCAATCAAAAGGCAAATTCCAGGAAGATAGTCTGCATTTGATCCCATGAAAACCTAGGCTTGGTGCCATGTGGTCCCCTGGCTCATGTTGTTGGTTCATTGAATTTTCCCTACTTGCCAATAAGGCTCAGGTCCTCTCTTAGAGCACAGGCAATATTTTCAGGGACAATTCTCTTAATCAGCACCTCTGGTAACATCACGAGAATTCACCTAATGGTCATCAGGACGGTGCAACTTCATCATTCATGACGACAATAAAAAATAAGATCATTGTCAACTGTCACTTGATGGCAAAATATTATTCCCATTTGCAGATAAGCAAGCTGAGATTCTGAGACTGAGTGGCTTGTCCTAAGGGTCCCATGTTGCAGACAGAGCTAGCAGTCAATCCAAGGTCTGTCTGATGCAGAGGCCCAGGTTCTTTCCACCTTCTGGAATGGTGGCTATTGACCTTCTCTTACCTGGCAAGGGAGATTGGTATGTTCCTTGGAAGGTTAAAGAATTGCTCAAGTGAATACTCAACCACAGGGCTGGACAAAGAAATATGAGCTCTCCCATTCCCCTTGTAATGTTTAAGGCAAATATTTTTGACTAAGTCTGTGTATGAGGCCATGGAAACTCATCTTTTCCTACCTTTCATTCAGTAGAATTTGATGAAATATTAAAACACTTAACATCCTGCACAGGCACCATTTAATCAAAATGAACAACTGCTAACTGCTGGAACAGAGTCCTGAGGTTCCCCAATATCAGTGATTTACCCACTATTTCCTCATTCTTCAGGTAGGGAGAATCCAGAGATCTTAGGAAAGGGGTCAGGTCAGTTGGGTGACAGGGGAAGTACATTGAGTCTCAAGACAGACATGCATTTGCCAAGTGCAGCACTTTTAGTGGAATGAACATCAGGAGAAACCTACTCTCCTGGAAGGAAGAAGCCCACCTCCACCAATCCTTCCATCACAGAGCATCCAGAGTGCAGACTGGTTATCATTCTGATGCTCACCCTTCCCCACCAGGATAAGCCCCAGGTCCCAGCTCTACCTGTATCACCCTTCTCGCCCTGAGGGCCCTCTCTCCCATCCCGTCCATCACGACCAGGAAGGCCATTCTCTACTGAGTTACACATGATCAAGGTGCAGGCATTGGTTACAGGTCTCTGTGAGAAGGTCTTCATTTCTGCTCCCAGGTACCTCAGGGGCTGTGTGAGCAGAACTACCATGGAAAGAAGGAGACGCAGCATGGCCTGGGGAGATAAGGAAGAAGAAAGACACGATGTTGGTTGGAAGACTTTGGTAAGGGTTTGGCCCAGCTCCTGGAGGTCAAAAGTCCCCCTCCCTGTATCCTATTCCCTGCTGTGGAGCACAGAGCAGTAAGACTCCAAAATCTGTTTAGGGAGGTGGGCACATGATTTGGACTTGAAGGGCCTGAGTTACCTGACTAGAACTCTGACAGGGGTTGACAGCAGTGTCCATCTGTTCTCAGCTGCTCCATCAGAATAGTGATTGTGGCATAATATTCCTTACTGAGGACCTTCCCCTCCCTGGACCTCCTTTTCCCTGCCTGTGCCATTGAGGCAGCTGGCTTACTCAGACAAGATAAATCTGTTTCTTCTCACTTGTGGCCTGGAATGGTTTAGCGCAGGCAGCCCACAGGGCTGGTCTGAAAGCAAGCCTGAGTTTGAGGGCTTTGTGATGTCTGTCCTGAGCTCAAGTTGGATTGTGGCTGAATGTTTGACAGGCAATTTTTCATTCCTGGACCAACCAATAACTCCATGAAGAAAGACCCAGAGAGAGCCAAAAACCAGTGGCTCATGCCTGCAATCCTAGCAACTTGGGAGGCTGAGATCAGGAGGATCACGGTTCTAGGCCAACTTGGACAAAAAAGTCTGTAAGACCCCACCTCAATGGAAAAAAAGCTGGGTGCAGTGGCACTCACCTGTCATTTCAAGCTACAGAAGAGGAGGAACTCTAGCCAGCCTGAGCAAAGAGTGAGACCCTATCTCCAGAATAACCAGAACAAAAGGGGCTGGTGGCATGACTCATGCTTAGCAAGAGCAAAGCACTGAGTTCAAACCCCAGTACTGCTCCTTGTCCCCAAATTCCCAGAGAGAATGCAGGTGAAAGGTTTCAGAGGTACTAAATCAGGAAGTAGAGAGCTGCAAAGACATCTAGAGGTCTGCCAGACCATCTGAGAGGGCTTGGAGGAGGGGCTGGTGGAGGAAAAGGACATATCAGATGGGCTCAGTCAGCTGGAAGGCTAGTTTTCAGGGATGCAAGAAAACTTATCCAACAGGGCCTCCGATTACCATCTGAGAGAGACTTAGGAACTGAGATCAGAGCCAGGGGATGCAGGACCCGGGTCATTCCTACACTGGGCATCTGTTAGCTTTCTATCATTGTGACAAATACCTGAGATAAATCAACTTAAAAGGAGGAAACATTTATTTTGGCTCAGAGTTTCAGAGGTTTCAGTTCATAGTTGTCTGGCTCCATCACCCTGGGCCTGTGGCGACACAGAATACATGGTGGGAGCATAGGACAAAAGAGGCTTGTTCACCTTATAGCAGCCAGAAAACAGAGAGAGAGCAGGGGACAGGTTCCCAAGATCCCCTCCAAAGGCACAGTCCCAAAGATTCAACTTCCTTTCACTAGGCTCCATGCCCTAAAGGTGCCACCACTTCTCTATTGTGCCACAGGCTGGGGACCCATGCCACTGGGGGACATTTAAAACCCAAACCATAACAGCATCCCCCCTTTCCAAGAAAGAAACTATAAAGTTATGAGGTTGAAAAGAGTCAGTAGGAGTCACAGATGCTGGGAAGAAAACCAGAGTACTGTGCAAAGATGCAGGGGCTCACCAGCTATCTGGGATGGTGGCAGAACAGAGCCTTTCTGGCCAGAGAAGTGCCTCCTTTCCAGCTGCTAGTGATTCTGGACTGCGGGTGAACCTTATTTTCCATTAGCCTCTTTTCATCTTGAATTCATAACTTCCTCAGCTATCCTGGGAGTCCCTAGAAACACCCTTGTGGGCTCACAGGCTGGTAGCAGGCAGTCTGTTGCCCTTGTTCTGACAGAGACTCCGTCACAAGCACGGAGGACAAGAGCAAAGGTGCTGGACCTTGGCCTGCAGCCTCCTCAACTCTGGAGTCCTATGCCTCATTCTAGGGAATAATAGCAGCAATGGCATTCCTCCACAAGCTCAAGGTGGCATGGAGATCACCACCACCTACTCACCAGGGCATGAAGAAGCCTTACAGAGAGCAACTTACAGGTTCCCACAGCCAAGAGTCAGGCAAGGCAACTGAGCTAGGGCAGCAGATGGAGTGCGCACAACCACAGCCCCCCCAAGCTCAGGCAGTGTTCAGGGCAGCTGTGCTTTCAGAGTAAGAGTTTGTTGAAAAAGGGACTCATCTGGTCATTGGAAAACCAGAGACCTAACGCAGTAAAGTATGTTTTTTAGTAAAGACTTGAGGCTATGATTGGATGGATTTAAAACTCAGCCCTGAGAATGCCTGGTCTGTTTCTCTACCACTATCTCTCCGAAGAAATCGAAGACAAAGAGGGAGCCAAAAGAGAAGTTGAGATTGCTTCTGGGTCTGGAGGGGGTGTCACCTCACACTCATCCTTTGTACCCAAGTTGGGAAAGTAAATCTCCCCTTGTACCAGGGAAGCTGGCCCAGGGCTCCCATCTCCCACACCCATAACTCCTGAATCAGAACCTAGAACCAGAGCCCAGAACTCCCCCCCACACACACCCTGGCCATGTCCTCAACACCAGTGGACAGGAGGGTATTCATAGGACATGGGGGAAATAAAATGAGAGGCAGGGACAGAGACACTCACAGGTTGCTTCCTCTAGGTCCTGGGAGTTTCAGACAAATGAGCCTCTGCTTGGCAGGCACCCACTATTTATACCTGTCCTGTGACTGGAGCTGCCCAGCCTTGGCCTTCTGAGAACTTCCTTCAAGAGGGGAAACAACAGAACAAAGTGGAACAATTTTTTTGCTTGGTGACTCACTCACACTTACCCACCCCCACCTGCCTTCCCAGCTCCCTGCACTTTGGAAAGCTGCCACCCATCTGCAATACCCTATGCATGCCTGTCACTTTAGAGCTTTCTCAGACTGTGATTGCATGCAGCCCTGGGAGTGAAGTGGCATCGCTAGTGTCTATATTGTGCAGATGTCCAGGAATTCCAGGTTCAGGGACCAGTCCATTGTTTACAGTGGTTTCAAAAAACGGCTCGCATCTGCAATCTCAAGGGCCAAGACCTACTGTGTCCACTTCTCTTTTCTCTTCATCTCAAAAGCCCTGCCCAGATATTGGGAAAGAGCTGGAAGCAGCTTGGCAAATCCAGGCAAGGGTGGGGCAGGCTGAGGGGCTGCAGAGGCAGCACCTGTGGGGGCAGCAGTTCAAGTGGCTGACATGGGAAGGTGTCATTCTTTTGCATCCTATGCTAGGACTCAGAGAGACCTTCACTTACCTTTTATGTGGTAGGCTTCCCTTATCAGGTGTCTACCTTGCCCTGGTTCAGGCGTGTTCTCTCCATCTGTCTCTGCATTGCTCTACTGACTGGTTAGAATGCCTGAGCTCCTGATACTATGTTTCGGCCACCTCCAGGTGGCTCTTAGTCTCCAGGATTACTGGGCAACTGTCAGACATCTTACTGCCATTGGTATCATCTTTGCTTGCCTCTGGACTCCTGTGACTTCATTCCTTGCATCAACTCTTTGCCTAGATTCACACACTAGCAAACCTATGTCTCCAACCTTCTCCATGGGCCACCCAACTGGTGGCCTGACTTGCTGCTGGCTTTTGATACTCTTTGTGGCATCTCCTTCATACTAGGGAATCTAGTACACCAAGTCTTCCCTTTGGAAGCAGAATAGTATGCTTTTCCCATTGCATTTTTTTTGAAGTAGGATCTCATAACAAAGCCATTCATGTCCCTGATAATAGAGCTGATTCATTATTGACACACAGCTGTTTTCATTCTAGAATATTCATGTGCCTTCTAGAGATCTGGGCCAGCATGGAGGCTACATTGAACTACAGTTCTCCTCTCCACAAAGACTCTTCCTTCCTTACAGTGACTTTCACTACAGGAGCCCCGTACTTCATCTCTTGCAAGTATGCTTCTCTTACCCATCACCTTTTGTTTTGTTTTGTTTTTTACGTTTTCCCTTTTTTATTAGCATATGTTAATAGTATAAGGATATTCATTGTGATAATTCCATAGATGTGTACTGTGTACTTTGATCAAGTTCACCCCCTTTATTATATTCTCTTAGCTCCCCTCTGTTCTACCCCACTTTCAGCAGTGTTTGATGGGTTTCATTATGCTGTCATTACAAAAATATACATAATCATATATATAAAACCATACTTTGATCCTCTCCACCCACTAGTAACTTCTCCTTTCCCTCTTCCACATCCCACTGATTCACCACAGTCAGTTTTTACAGTCATGTCCTATTATCATCATTTCATCATTATCATTTTAGGTCCAGATTTCACGTATGACCAAAAACATGCAATATTTGGCTTTTTGAACTTGGCTTATTTCAATCCACCTGGTTATCTCTAATTCCATCCACTATCCTGCCAACAACATAATTTCATTCTTCTCTATAGCTCAATAATATTCCATTGTGTATAGATACCACATTTTCTTTATTCAATCATTGGTTGTTGGGACCACGGCTGGTTCCACAGTTTGGCCATTGTGAAGAGAGCTGCTATAAACATAGGTGTGCAGGTATCTCTATTGTATGATGACTTACATAACTTTGGATATATGCCCAAGAGTGGTATAGCAGGGTCATTTTAGTTTTTGAGAAACCTCCTTACTGATTTCCATAGTGGTTGTACTAGTTGACATTATCACTAATAATAATAATTATCATTATGCATGAGGGTACTTTTTTCCCTGCATCCTCACCAGCATTTGTTGTTGCTTGTTTTCTTGATGATAGCTATTCTGACTGGGGAGAGATAGAATCTCAATGTTGTTTTGATTTGCATTTCCTCTATGGCCAAAGATGATAAAAATTTCTTCATGTACTTCTGAGAACTGTCTAATTTATTGCCCATTTATTAACTAGATATTCTTTTTGCTGTTTAATTTTTGAGCTCTGTATATTCTGCATATTAATTCTTTATCTGATGAATAGCTGGCAAAGATTTTCTCCCATTCTGTGGCCTGTCTCTCTCTCTTTCTCTCTCTCTCTCTCTTTCTCTC